ACTTTTGGCTCCAGGGCACGCACACTGTTGAGGAGCGATCCCCCGTGCGTCCAGTGCTGAATAAACATACCTACTTTATAACCTCACTGGTTGTAAAGTCGTCTTTCCACATGTCAGAGTGAAGTGGAGAAGCAGGGGTAGTGGTTAAAATCTGCACAGAAACAGGCACAGGCATAGGCAAGTGTAGGACAGCCTGTGGTGGGAATAGCTCCTTTTCTGAGGCTGGGAACCCCAGCACAACTGAAAGCCTTGTCCTTCTGACTATGGCTGCTGTCTCTTCCACTGAGGTCCCTGAGAGCACACCAGTTCCTTACAGCCACAGCACTTTGCTGCCTCCTCCTGGATCCTCCACACAGCCTGGAGGAGTCTTCCTGCTGTCCTGCACTCGGCATCACACACCTCTACATCTCACTGCCCCCAGGAAGAGCCCTCAGCATTCCCTGAGGGGAAGGATCCCCATTCCCAGGCTATGGGGGTCAGGGCTTGAACATCCTGCTTGAGGACACACATCAAGGGCTTTCACAGTTGCCTGAACATTTGATTTTCAGGCTGGCAGCAGTGCCTCTGCCTTCCTGCTTCACCACCCCCTGGGACAGGAACCTTGTCTCTTCATTCCCTCCATGGGCTCTTCAGTGATGGCCCTCGGTGGCCATCACTGACACCCTCAGGAACTTGGAGGGTTCCTGCTGACTCCGATTTCTCTAGAGGCCAGCTCAATCCCTTTCCAGGATCTGCAGTTTAGCAACTGGGCACCAGAGGGCTCAGTAACATGCAAAACGCCTGCACAAGACAAGTCTCTTGGCAGAACTGAATTTCTCAATTCTTCTGGGTTTAATTTGAGAGGTTTGAGGATTGTAATCATAGTAAAAAATTTTCAGTACTAAATGTCAATAAGAAAAAATCTCTTCTTTTTCCACTAGTCTTTATTTTTCTGCTTACACACTAAGGGATATCACCCAAATGCAACTCACATTGATTCTAGAGCATCTCCTGATTAAGTTTGAATATGGAAGGAAGTCAAGACCCTGTATGTCAGACAGTCTCTGGACAGCGTTTTTCCCTGTCTCCAACCCCACATTTCTCTCATCAGCCCCCTGCGACTTACAGCACCTTTGTTTCAATCTGTGTTTTCTCCACAACAATCCGTAGCTGCATGATTCAGCCTATTGACACCAACTCCCATCTGCTGCACTTGGAAATCGAGCTGCTCACAGACACAGAATGGTGTTTCTTAATTGCCAAAAAACAAAACCAAATGAAGGCACGGTTCAATAAAAAAACAAAATACAGTCCTTTGCTCTATATTAATTCTACCTTACATCCTCTGAAGTCAACTTTCTACACTGCAGATGGCCTTAGAGCAATGGAAAATATATTTTCTGTCAAGCAGAGATCCCAAGAAACCCCAGGGCATGCCCTGGCCCAGACTCTGTCCATATTCACTCATAGTCACTCGCAAACACAAGTCATGAGCTCCATCAGTTCACAGAGGGAAGCAAAGAGACAGAAGAAAATATATGCTCTCTTCTGGATTTCCAAATCTGCACCCATCCCAGTGTACCTGGGCTACAGGTGGGTCTGCAAGTAGGCTCTGCAGCATCTAGACCCACTCATTTCTCATTCACTTCCAACATGGGACACCTTGGGTGAAATTTTCCAGGCCTCCCCTTCTACTCAAGGGAGAGAAATGAGTTGTCTCAACTGAGATGCTTTGGCTCACCGTGTCTGTAACCATCTCCTGCTCAAGAAAGTCTCCCATCAGCCCAGGGTCACATTTTCCAGTCCAATGTGAGGGCTTCAGCTATCCCAGTGTAACTTGGAGGCTGTGGCCACCCCTTCGTGGGCAACTGAATCAACCCATGAATGAGGATGTTAGGCAAAATCTGAAACATATGCAGAAAAGTCATTGTTGTAATCAGTGTGTAAAGAAGATTTCATTTTTAGAATTTTTAAACCATTCTGTACATTCTCATACATTTTTTCATGGGCCATAGACAGGGATCAGCAAGCTGATGACACTTTCTCTCCCCCAATGTAAAGACAGATTGACACATCTGGTTCCATTTGATGGGTAATATTTGAGTTTGGTCAAGTAGCCCCTGATTTGTTTCCCCTCCACTATTGGCTGTTTTCCTCTAGAGTCCTGCCTTGAGGCACAATGGCTTAGGAGAACCTCTTGGTGAAATATGAGGCAAAGAGGACATGAAGTATCTCAGCTCTATTGCCACCTACTCATACTATATTTGACTGTGACCACTTATTACCCTTATTTCTTCTTGGACTGTTCCTAAAATTGTAAAATCTTTTTTTGTTGCCCTTGAATTCTCTTTCAAGTTTCAGCTGATTTTTGGTACAGAAGATCGCGATGCTTGGAGGATGCGGTCCTTGAAAATCACGTACACTTGACTTTGCTGCCCATCAGTGCTACTGACAGTGGGATCCCCAATAAAACTCCCCAGATTTGGCCAAATCTGCTCCACTGAGTATCGCCATCTGCAGTCTTCTATTCTCCTTCCTCACTGCCCTCAGGAGCTCAGACTCCGCTGTCACTGTCCCAACAGCCAGTCTTCACACCCCTGACCAGCTCTTCCTTGCTTGCCAGTGTCAGCTCCATGTTTGCATTGTCATTGTTGGCCCATCTGGCAGCTGTGAAAACAAGCTGTCCCCAAACAGCCTGGACTGTTTGCATGCTGCTGTGTTCCTCTTCCAGAAAATGCCGGGGCCATTAAAGTCCCCAGTGAGGCCCAGGCTTCTCCAGCCAGAGACTTCCTTGGGGTACTTCGAAAAGATTACGGCAATTACTCCATGCATGTCAAAACCCACAGGCTCCCTCTTGTCCCGGCTGAGGGCATCAGTGCACATTTGGGTTGTAGCACCTCAGGGGTAGCACCAGGCCAAGATCTGACTTGTCTCAGGAAAACCTGGTACCAAGTGTCCAAGTCCCCATGTGTGCAAAGGCTTTGCTTCAGAGCAGAATCAGGCCAGAGTTTGTGGTGTTGGAAACATAAAGCTGAAATTGGATGCCAAGAGAGTGAGCAAACCGTGATGTCCCCAATGCCAGAGAAGTGCAGCCCTGGAAAGAAATAATTTTACTTCAGTGATATCCCTTTTGCCTGTGAGGGCCTTTGTTGGAATTGAAGTTATCCCTGATGACAAGATTTACCCAAGCACACTGTGAAAATGGTTGGTCTGTTCCTTGACCGAATCATCAAGAGAGTGGGTGAAGACCTCGTGTGGGGGCATTTGTGTACATGCAATGCCTGCAGCTGTTGGGTAGAGGAGGGATAGATCTTGCTTCTCTGATGGCATCTGATGGCTGATGCTTCAAATCGCTCTCTCTGTGATGATGTCATGGGTGTCTGTCTTGCACCACCCCTGAATGGGAATTGCTTTCCTACAGTTTCTGTGCTGTCCCTGCCAGCCCTGGCCTCTAATGAAGCTCTGTGGGCCTGGATTTGGACATGAGATTGAGTAGATACCCTGGGTTTGGTAAGGCAGTGTGGGGATGAACATGAAACCACTGCCAACATAGTCAGTGGACATCTAGTAAATACAGCAGAAGGAGAAGAGGGAGACTGAGCTGTCCCTATAACACATGACTCCGGCTGCTCAGAGGAATAACTTTGCAAAATGCCTTGAACTTAATCAGAAGGGTCAGGTTCAGTTGCCCTTATTTTTGGGCATCAGCTGTCATTTCAGTTGGCCAAAGACAATTCCAAGCAGCCTCCAAGACGATGCCCACAGATGCTGCCCTGCTGTCTCTGTGAACTTATCCATCTGAGTTTGCAGGTACCTGCCCATGACTTCAGCCACCCCTGACACCTCAGCTGTCACCAGACATTTGCATCTCAACAGCTCACTCATGGCCTCCCCCTTCATTAATTACCATGGGATCTGAGCCAAGGAGGTCACCTGCAGGTGCAAGTTTAATGATAAGGAGAAGAGAGGTGAGTGGAATCAAACCTCTTGAAAGTTCGTGGCAGGCCTGGGAGGCAGCTGAGTTCACATTACTCCCAGGACTACAAGCCCAGGACGAGATTCCTCAATTGCCTCTGCTGAAAGCCTTCCCTCAGCAAGGGGTAAAGGAGATCCCTGCTTGTACCTGTCTGGCTGTCCTGTCCAAAGATGGAGTAAGAACGCTGATTCCTTGAGCTAACTCTTTCCCAGACAAGAAAAATGTTACTGCCGAAACAAAGTGTCTCTCCAGAGCTGTTTAAAGGAAACCCACTGATTGCATCAAGCTGTGTCACGGCAAGTTCCCCTGGAGCCCCAGGGACAGCTGGAGGGAGCCCAGAGGGGCCACAGCAAGTGGCACCTTGGGCTGTTGCTGTGGTGCTGAGCTGGGCTGGGCTCCTGGGCCAGAGGGAGCTCCTGGCAAGTGGGCAGTGCTGCAGAGAGACAGCTCTGCCCAGGAGCAGCTCCTCTGCAAAGCGCAGCAGAACTGAGTGATACAGGGCCAAAATAGGAACAGGGGATGTAAGGGTTAACATGAGAATAGCAAGAAGGGGATAATAGCAAGAAGGGGATAACAAAAGAAAATAGTTCAAGGGAAATAGTTTAGATAACGGTTAACTGTCTGCTTAGTGAGCAGACAGTTTATAAAACACGGTGAGCTCTCTAGGCTTTATCAGTACCAAGCCGGTTGGAACTAGACCCACGGTTTGGACAACAGCCAGTAAGAGACTGAGTCTGCGCAAAACCTGGGGTCACAGAGCGGACAGGAGGAAGAGGAGCTTGACTTCATCCCCAAAGACCCCCACGACCACCACCAGAAGACACTGCGCAGACTCAACTAGGAGGAGATTATGGAAATGCTAATTATAATATGAAGCGGGGATAGGTGTTGAATATGTATAGGCGTATTGCGAAATATTATGAATATGTAATCATTTGCTCTATAAATCTTAGGTAACAGCATCACACGTTGGGTACACAATAGGAGGAGTTATCCCCTGTGTACCTCAGCGCTGAATAAACATACCTACTTTACAATCTACCAGATTGTGGAGTCTATTTCCGCACGTCAGTTTTGGCGAGCCAGGCAGGAGACTCTCTGCTCGACTACGGGATCGACTGCGGGGCGGACTCTCCCAGGCGCGCCCCGAGCACTTTCCTCGGAGGAGCCTCCGCTACCAGCCGCTCACCGTGGGGGGCAGACAAGGACTTCCTGAAGCCGCGGACCAAACGGTATGTTCAAGGATAGGAGCCTGTAAGTCGTACGCGTGGCTGGGGCAGCTGGTAAATCGCGCAGAGACGTCTGGCGTGCAGCTAAGCCGGGTAGGTGCACCGAAAAGGCGCGAATTCGTGCGGGTTAGGGGAGTCTAGGGGGCAATTACACCTTGCCACAGACCGATAGAGCGGTCGCCGGCTCCAATCGGGGACCTGTTGGCCGAGAGGGCGGCCACAGGCAGGAGTGATTGAAAAGGCCTTTGTTCTGTTGTGTTTTTTTTTTTCTTGCTGAAAGTGTTGTAAGTGTGTGGATTTGTAAGTGCGTGGACGTCCGTGAGATTGTGAGATTGTGAGTGAATGCTGTGTGGTGATTGTGTTAAGTGTGAGCGTTTGGAGTGAGTGTTTTACAAAAACAAGATGGGTAATACTCAGGGAGGGATATTAAAAAAGAGCCCTCTCGGCTGTATACTTGCCCATTGGCGGGATATTGCAGGGAGCGGAGGTACGGAAAGCAAAAGGACTCTTGTAAAATATTGCAATCAGTGGTAGCCGCTGTATAAGCTGGAGGATGGTGCTAAATGGCCGCTTAATGGAACACTGGACTATAACACTCTGTTACAACTTATGTTGTTTATAAGGAGAGAAGGAAAATGGGATGAGATATCATATGCGGATATGTTTTTTACTTTGCGAAATCACCCAGAGTGGCAAAGGGACTGTGGGTTAGTACCCCCACAGGACCCTATGGTGCTCGCACTTGAACGAGAAAATAAGGAAAGTAGGGGTAAGTTGAAAAGGTGTTGCTCATCATGTAGCATTGGACAGAGATGTACAAAGGTAGATAAGGTTCACCAAACCTCAGAACAAGATGATGATTTGTTTAAACCTCCCCCCCGATCACAGAATCGGGATGGTGACTCGGAAGAAACGGCAGACTCTCCCGATAGTCCGGTATCTGCCCACACTAGACAAAAAACTGCAACAAGTATTTTACAGGCACCCCTTCGGGAAGCCGTGGGACCGGAGGGTGGTACAATGTTGATTAGGGTACCCTTCACCACCGTTGATTTGGAAGCATGGAGGGGAATTGCAAAAAACTATAGACGCGATCCACATGATGTAGCTAAACACTTCCAATTCATTATAAAACAGCATAACCCAGATTGGAGTGATATACAACTGCTATTAGAATATATGACTGAAACTGAGAAACAATTGATTTTAAAAACAGCAGGAGACTTGGCGGAGGATCATTATAAGATCACTGGGGGGGACGTTAAGGAATATTTTCCCCTCCAAGACCCAAAATGGGAACCAAATAGATCGGCACATATGGAAAGGTTACGGGCGTATCGAGAATGGATTGCAAAGGGGATAGAAAGAGCGATCCCTAAAACTATAAATTGGTCAGTTTTATATGCAGTAAAACAGGGTCCTTCCGAGTCCCCATCTGAATTCTTGGATCGACTGAGGGATGTAATGCGCCGTAATACACCGTTGGATCCGGGATCAGAAATAGGAATACAACAACTAGTTTCCTTGTTCATGGGCCAATCCACAAGAGACATAAGGCGAAAACTTCAGAAGCTGCGCCCTACGGAAAGTAGGAATCTGGAGGTATTGTTAGAGGAGGCGTGGAAAGTGTTTAGCAACAGGGAAGAAGAATGTCGACAAGGACAGATGAAGTTGATGGCCACTCTGGTTCAGAGACCGGCCAGGCAACGACCGCGGCTGGGGTGGGATCAGTGTGCTTTGTGTAAGGGCTTCGGGCATTGGAAAAAGGAATGTCCAAGGAATAGGAGGGAGAATGGGAAGGCTTCAAGGAATGTAAAAATAGCAAATGTAACAGAGGACTGACGGGGACCTGGGGGATCTACCCTGGCGGATCCACTGGTTAAAATTAAGCTGGGGAGAAAAAAAGAAGAAGTAGAATTTTTGGTAGACACAGGAGCAACGTATTCGGTTTTGAATCAAGCTTTAATACCACTGGGGAATGACTATGTTATGGTAAAGGGAGCGACCGGCCAATCTGAAAAGGCGTATTTTTGTAAACCTTTAGAGTATAAATTGGGAAAGCAATGGGGAATTCATAAATTCCTTTATATGCCTAACTCCCCAAAAGCTCTCCTGGGGAGGGATTTGCTGGAACAACTGGAAGCAAAAATTGTCTTTGAGAAAGGGGAAGTCACCTTGGAGGTAAAAGATCAGCAGTACATTCAAGTGCTGAGTCTCACTCTAACTAGTTCTTCGTCAGGAGGAGAAATTAGTGAGGAAATTTTAGACCAAGTATATCCGGGAGTTTGGGCTACCGATGTACCTGGAAGGGCGAAAAACGCTCTACCGATTGTGATCAAGATTAAGGAAGGTCAACGACCGGTGAGAATTAAACAGTATCCTTTAAAAAGGGAGGATAGGGAAGGAATCCGACCGGTAATAGAAAAATTTTTGCAATTAGGGTTATTAGAAGAGTGTGAGTCTGAGTTCAATACCCCTATACTGCCCATTCGGAAACCTGATGGGTCGTATAGAGTGGTTCAGGACTTACGGGCTGTAAATAAAATAGTTGAAGATCTCCACCCAGTGGTAGCAAACCCATATACCCTGTTAACTGTATTAACACCAGAGTTGATTTGGTTTACTGTCTTAGATTTGAAGGACGCCTTCTTTTGCCTTCCTCTCCATAAAGCCAGCCAAAAGTTGTTTGCATTTGAGTGGGAAAATCCTAAAACTGGTCGAAAGACCCAACTCACCTGGACGGTGTTGCCACAAGGGTTCAAGAATAGCCCTACTCTTTTTGGCAACCAGCTTGCAAAGGACTTGGAATCCTGGGAAGCCCCATCCGAGAAAGGAAAATTATTGCAGTACGTGGACGACATTTTGATCGCTACTGAGACAGAAGAGGACTGTGCAACGTGGACGGTGAGCTTGTTAAATTTTTTGGGACTGCGGGGGTATCGAGTTTCTAAGAAGAAAGCCCAGGTGATACAACGTAAAGTAAACTACCTGGGCTATGAGATCACTGCAGGGCAAAGAACTTTGGGACAATCCCGTAAGGAAGCCATATGTCAAACCCCGAAACCTCAGACAGTAAAAGAATTAAGAACCTTTTTGGGAATGACGGGGTGGTGCAGGCTATGGATCTATAATTATGGACTGCTTGTTAAGCCCCTGTATGCGCTAACAAACACCGAACAGACGCACCTTGAATGGGATGAGGAGGCTGAGCAAGCCTTCGATTCACTGAAGAAGGCTTTGATGTCGGCCCCGGCTCTAGGACTCCCAGATGTGAGTAAACCGTTTTTTCTCTTTTCTCATGAGAAGCAGGGCATTGCCCTGGGAATACTGGCACAAGACCTAGGTCCATATCGACGAGCTGTCGCCTATCTCTCTAAACAACTAGATGCAACTGCAAAAGGGTGGCCTGGGTGTCTGCGAGCGGTGGCTGCCCTGATACTGAACATACAGGAAGCTCGGAAGTTCACTCTGGGCCAGAAAATGACTGTCTATGTGTCACATACAGTGTCGGCAGTCCTGGAAGCAAAGGGAGGGCATTGGCTCTCCCCACAAAGATTTCTGAGATACCAAGCTGCACTAGTAGAACAAGATGATGTACAGATAATAGTCACTAATATTATCAACCCAGCTTCTTTCCTCAGTGGTAACATGGGAGAACCAGTGCACCATGACTGCTTGGAAACAATTGAGGCAACATACTCAAGTCGCCCTGACCTAAAAGAAAGCCCCATGAAGGATGAAGAGAGCTGGTTCACGGATGGAAGCAGTTACGTCCTGAACGGTAATCGACATGCGGGGTATGCCGTTACCACCAGTCAAAAGGTAATAGAATCAGGACCTCTGCCTGCAAATACATCTGCGCAAAAGGCAGAAATAATTGCTTTAACCCGAGCCCTGGAACTAGCTAAGGGTAAGATCATAAACATATACACGGACTCCAAGTATGCTTTTGGAGTTGTGCATGCACATGGAGCAATCTGGAAAGAAAGGGGACTATTGAACTCCCAAGGGAAAAACATTAAACATGCGGAAGAAATTTTGAAGCTATTAGAAGCTGTTCAACTTCCTGAGAAGGTGGCAATTATGCATATTAAAGCACACCAAAAGGTGAGCTCTGAATTGGAAAAAGGAAACGAGCTGGCGGATAGGGAGGCAAAACGGGCGGCCAAAATAGAGATAAAGACTGAAGGAGCACTTATTCCCGATAGGCAAATTTCCTTGGAAAGTAAACCAGAATATACCAGGGAGGATCAGAAACTTATTGCAGATTTGGAAGGGACATATAACAAGGAAGGGTGGGCTTATACCCCACAGGGGAAATTAATTATCCCCTCTCATTTACTATGGCATTTTACACGAGAGGAGCATAGAAAGAGACACTGGGGAGCAGAAGCTTTGTATAGTCATTTGATAAAAGAGATTGTAGCCAGGAATTTGTATACCACGGTAAGGCAGGTGACTCAACAATGCGACATCTGCCTCCGGACTAATCCCAAAAACGCCTCCAAACTAGAAATGGGTCAGATTGGGAAGGGCAACGGACCTGGGCAACAATGGCAAGTAGATTTTACAGAATTACCAAGAAAAGGGGGGTATCGATATTTGTTGGTACTGACTGATACCTTTTCAGGCTGGCCAGAAGCATTCCCTACTAGAACCGTTAAGGCTCGGGAAGTAACTAAAGTACTGATACAAGAAATAATACCACGATTTGGGGTTCCGGCAATCATATCCTCAGATAGAGGACCACACTTTGTCTCAAAAGTAGTACAACAAATTAGCCACCATTTGGGTATAGATTGGCAGCTTCACACCCCGTATCGCCCTCAGTCAAGCGGTCAAGTGGAAAAGATGAACCACTTAATCAAACAGCAAATTGTAAAATTGGGGCAAGAAGCAAACCTGACATGGCCTCAGTCCTTGCCCTTGGCCCTTTTACGCATACGGACAAGGCCAAGGGCAAGGGAAGGGCTGAGCCCCTTTGAAATTTTATATGGACAACCATACGGGGTACAAAAAGGAATATCCACACAAATTGGAGATGAAATTATGAGCTCCTACATGGTGGCGTTAGGGAAACAACTCAATAAGATCAGAAAACATGTAATTGGTACTCGAGGTAGAGGGCTGGATGGACCTGTACATAATATACAACCTGGGGACTATGTATATGTTAAGTCTCTTACAGAAAAAAACCTTGGAGCCACGGTGGGAAGGGCCATTCCAGGTGCTGCTCACGACGTTCACAGCCATCAAGATTAAGGAATACTCGGCCTGGATACATCACACCCGAGTGAAGAAAGCCCCTAAATCTCCATGGAAAGTTACCCAAGTTCAACCAGGAAGATTACGCTTCTCACGATAAGTCTGATAATCATTTTTCCTTTAATGTATAGTCAAAGGTTCAGTGAATGGCCATGGTCCCAGGCCCACATTGGGTATACTGGAAGTATGGGGATAGGCAGCACACACACGACTCTAAATTTGGCTACTACAGTTATACAGGGGATAAATGTGAGCTCAAAAGAAGAATGGAATCACACCTATCAAGGAGTACAACAATTGCAGGGAACATTGGGACAAGAAATTAAAATAGGATGCAGAGCAATTAATGAGTCTACTCACTGGGCAGCAAAACAGATCACAGTAAGAACACGTATGGAATCTGGGGAACCGGGCGCCCTTTTAGCAAACCAAATCTGTGATACAACAAAATCAGATTGTTGGTATAACTCTACTCTTAACCAATCAATTTCCGTAGTATGTCTCTGGGTCAAGGGGCAGCCGATATTGGGATTATCCTTCAGATTTCATATAATAATAAACAACGCCACAACAACACCAACAACTGAAAAGACAACCAGCACAACAACAACAGCACCAAACACAACTCAAACAACTCAACCCCAAACAAAACCAGGGCCTAAGATTTATGAAGTTGGCCCATATATGATTAGGAATGTGGGCCAACAACAATTATTATTTAACCCAGATTGGTCTCTTAAGCGTGTTGAATTGATAATACAGACTAATATCTCCGAAATCCAACCAGCCTGTCTTCCTTTCGTAGAAACATCTTTCAAGGGCTGGACGAGATGGACACAAAAACAAATGCACCTTGAAAGCAGAACAAAAAGAGATTTAACTGGAGTATTAGGAACGGGGTTGGGAGTCTTGAATAGAATCGATTCAGAAGTATTAATGAACAAGTTGGTCACTGCAACAAGTGATTTAACAAGGCTAAAGCAGCCTCTGCAGTCATCTTTGTTGGCATTGGGAACTAGTCAGTGGCAAGTTTCAAAAATATTGCCAATATGGGAAAAGAATGAGGACCAAGATCACAGATTAATACTAGATGCACTTAATATGGCCCAGAATAATGTGTCTTTAGCTTTTAGTTGTATACAGGCACAGTTATGGCTGCAGGCAACCGCTGCCTTGATCATAAGGGAAGGGAATGAAGGAATTTTTCCAGTTGAAATCCGAAAGGCTGTTTGGGACGAAGCTACCAATTTTGAAAGAAGATTCCAATCTTGGTGGACTATGGTGAATTTTACCTATGACTCCACTACTAACATGGCTACTGCCTTTGTGCTCACCATACGTAATGCTACAGTTTATGTAATCCATCCCATCATCGCATTAGGGTTAAACCATGAGGATACAGTGCTCTATCCTTCAGAACACAGAGCATGGGCCCGGAAGGAGAATGAGAAATGGCAGACTGTAAACGTGGAATCTTGTATTACTCGAGAACAACAGGGGTTCATCTGTGAAAGTAATACAATTGACACCAGAGACATATGCCTTGACACTGAGCAAAGTATCTGTCACTTCGAAATTCACCCAGATAATAGTAAGAAAACTGTGATTATATATGCTGGTCAAGGCTGTATATGTTTAAGAACCGCTTGTGTATTCGTAGAGATAGATCCTGACAATGTAACTTTGTTTACTGGGAATCATTCTAATTTTTGTATTTGTAACTTTGTTAAGATTACTGGGTGTGACTTTGTATATTGGGCACCAGTGGTTTCCCACCAGTTGATAAAATCTAAAATCATAAATTATCTCGAATTATCACCTACACCTATTGGAATGAACCTTACATTAGTAAGGCAATTGATTAAACATCAAGATTTGTTAGGGATCTTGAGAGAAATTCAGAGAAACGGAGAGAAAACTTTAGTTACTATACACCATGATACAAAAGAAATAAACAGGGTTTTGCAAAGAACAAAACAAGATGCAAGTCACAACTGGTGGGATACTCTTTTCGGTTGGTCGCCTTCTGCAACAGGGATTCTTAACATTATGATACACCCCATTGTGATTCTACTAGGTAGTTTAGGAATTTTATTAGTACTAACCATCATTTTGTATTTATGGGTCTGGAGAATGTTTAAAAGAATAACAGCGATGCATGAGGCTTTATATTATTTGGGGGATTGCTGAAGTAAAAGAATTTACTCAGTATAATAAGAAAAGGGGGGATTGATACAGGGCCAAAATAGGAACAGGGGATGTAAGGGTTAACATGAGAATAGCAAGAAGGGGATAATAGCAAGAAGGGGATAACAAAAGAAAATAGTTCAAGGGAAATAGTTTAGATAACGGTTAACTGTCTGCTTAGTGAGCAGACAGTTTATAAAACACGGTGAGCTCTCTAGGCTTTATCAGTACCAAGCCAGTTGGAACTAGACCCACGGTTTGGACAACAGCCAGTAAGAGACTGAGTCTGCGCAAAACCTGGGGTCACAGAGCGGACAGGAGGAAGAGGAGCTTGACTTCATCCCCAAAGACCCCCACGACCACCACCAGAAGACACTGCGCAGACTCAACTAGGAGGAGATTATGGAAATGCTAATTATAATATGAAGCGGGGATAGGTGTTGAATATGTATAGGCGTATTGCGAAATATTATGAATATGTAATCATTTGCTCTATAAATCTTAGGTAACAGCATCACACGTTGGGTACACAATAGGAGGAGTTATCCCCTGTGTACCTCAGCGCTGAATAAACATACCTACTTTACAATCTACCAGATTGTGGAGTCTATTTCCGCACGTCACTGAGGGCACTCCCTGCAGGCACCCAGGGCAGAGCAGCGAGGCACACACAACTTCAAGGCAGCCTGGGCTGGGAGGCTGCTGAGAGCTCCGAGGAGGAGAAAGTGTCAGGGCCCTGGCCACAGTAAGTCTGGGGGTGCAGGGCAATGCAGCTGCAGCTCGGGGAGGGATCTGGGGAAGGTGGAAGAGCCACCAGGAATCTGCCTCCTGCCTAGAGGAGGAGGAGGAGGAGGAGGAGGTGCTCCTGAGCAAGGCTTCCCTGGTGCCCCCTGCGAGGGCCAGGGCATGAGGGCTGCCTTCTGGCGGGGCCGGCTGCAGGGGTGTGCAGCCGGGTGTGCAGGCAGGGGTGCCCAGGGCTGTCCTTCCCAGCAGGGTCCCTGCACCCCAGGGGGCTGTGTGCTGGGGCAGGGACTCTGCTGCCTGCCAGGGTCAGCACTCAGCCTGCCCGGGGAGCTCCCCACGGCACTGTGGGGAGAAGCTGTGGGGGGAAGGAGAGACCCCCGCCAGGGTAGGGTCCTTCTGCTCTCCAGAGGCTGCTGCGTGGATCAGGGATGCTCACAGCTCCAATTCATGCCCAGCTCATTTCACAGGGAATTTGTCACAAATACTTTCATCTCAGGGATATTCTGTTTGTGTCTGTTCATTCTGGACTCTCTGCTTCCTATTTTCGCTGGCTCCTCATGGTGGGAAAGGAAACTCGGCTGTGCAGATAAGAGCAGGGGCTGACACACTTAACCTTTCACAATGATATTTAATATGAACCTTAGTAAGTGCCTTCAGCCCCCAGCAGCCTACAGAACAGATCAGTGTCACCTTTCCATTTTCATCAGGGTTTGGGTGGGCTGTGCTTTAAGCCTTGCACACACAGAGTGGCTGCAGGGCAGAGCTGTGCACACAGGGGCTGGGATGGGGACTGTGAGCACTGGCACGGACGAAACATGGGCTCAAAGACAGAACTGCCAGCCTGGACAGCTCCAGGCAGTGGAGATGTGGGCAGGGATGGAGGGAAATGTTAAGGGAAACCCTGCTGCAGGGCAGACTCCTTCCCTGAGCAACACTCCTCTTGTCTCCTCTGCCACCCAGCACAGCCCTTAGCCCGTGGCTCCTGGCCGTGAGTCACCTCCTGGCCCAGCAGCCCAGCAGAAGGGATGAAGTGCATCTCTGCTGCCAGGGGCCCAGTTCCCGCTGAGCAGGGCCTGAGGGCGACTGTCCTGCATTGCTACTGTCTGGGAGGGGCTGTGCAGAGCTGCAGAAGGGAAAGGCTTTCCTGAGAGCCTGTCTGTCCCTCTCCTTGCCTTGCTCAGATGCCCTTGGTGTTGCTGACAGGCTCTCTGGGAAGGGGGTTTCAGCTGCAGAGTCAGGCACAGAGCTTGGGAGCCCTCCTCTGCAGATGTGCCCCTAGCAATGAGGTGTCCCAGCTTTCCTCTAACCCATGAAGCTCTGGGCAATGCAGTCTGTGAGGCTGGGCCAGGAGCTGGCTCTCCCTTAAGAAGTTGCCGTGGTTCGGACCCTTGGCTCTCTCCTTGGGGTGTCCATCCCAGCTGTCTGCTGCTTCCAGGGGACTCTGTGAGCCATGGGTGTCATTGGCTAAAGTGGGGTGCTGAGACTTGGAGAAAGGGTGAGTCATCTGGTGCTCTGCAGTGGATCCCTCTGCTCTCAGCAGTGTCTGGATGCTTTTCAGGGTAACATGGGTTTGTAATCACCCTTGAACTCAGAAACGTGCAATTCAGGGCAGACGGAAACAAGACAAAAGGACAGACCAGCTGCCCTCACTCTGCAGTAAGGTACAGCCACAGGACTCACTCTGTTCTCCCTGAGTGCTGCAGGAAACCTGCTAAACCTGCCTTCTGCTTTCCCCTTTCCTTAACACTGACGGAGCAGATGCCGACAAGCACTTCAAAGTTACGAGCAGGTTTGGTGTGACAAAGCCAGTCAAAGTGCTGACTCCTTGGCAGACATCAGACAAAAACCCTTGCCCTCCTGTCACGCTTGGGAAGCACCAAACAGATCTCCAGCCATGGAGATGAAGAAGAGCTCTAAAAAGAAATGGGAGGTGGGGGTGGGGGGTGGTGGGTGGGAAGGGGAGGTGGTGTGTAGCAACAGGGACACATCTTGGAGAAAGGGTTTTGAATTTACTCAAAGAAGTCTGTCTTATGATGTCATTGTCTTTCCTCCTTAGAACAGACTCCCATGTACAGAGGAAGCAAATGTCCAACATCAGCTCCATCAACCAATTTCTCCTCCTGGCATTCACAGACACACAGGATCTGCAGATCCTGCACTTCTGGCTCTTCCTGGGCATCTACCTGGCTGCCCTCCTGGGCAACGGCCTCATCATCACAGCCATCGCCTGCAACCACCACCTCCACACCCCCATGTACTTCTTCCTCCTCAACCTCTCCCTGCTCGACCTGGGATCCATCTCCACCACTCTCCCCAAAGCCATGGCCAATGCCCTCTGGGACACCAGGGACATCTCCTACATGGGATGTGCTGCACAGCTCTTTTTCTTTGTCTTTTTGATATCTTCTGAGTACTATCTTCTCACTGTCATGGCCTATGACCGCTACGTTGCCATCTGCCAACCCCTGCACTACGGGACCCTCCTGGGCAGCAGAGCTTGTGTCCACATGGCAGCAGCTGCCTGGGGCACTGCGTTGCTCATTTCTCTCCTGCACACTGCCAACACATTTTCCCTACCACTCTGCGGAGGCAATGCTGTGCACCAGTTCTTCTGTGAAATCCCCCAGATTCTCAAGCTCTCCTGCTCAGACTCCTACCTCAGGGAAGTTGGACTCCTTGTGGTTAGTATCAGTTTAGCATTTGGGTGTTTTCTTTTTATCATGCTGTCCTATGTGCAGATCTTCAGGGCAGTGCTGAGGATCCCCTCTGAGCAGGGACGGCACAAGGCCTTTTCCACGTGCCTCCCTCACCTGGCTGTGGTCTCCCTGTTTATCAGCACTGTCATGTTTGCCTACCTGAAGCCCCCCTCCAACTCCTCCCCATCCCTGGAACTGGTGGTGTCATTTCTCTACGCAGTAGTTCCTCCAGTTCTAAACCCCCTCATCTACAGCATGAGGAACCAGGAGATAAAGGACGCACTGAAGAAGCTGATTCAGTCAGCTGACTCTCAGCAAGAATAAACTGCCCATGTCTCTTCAGAAGGTATTTCCAATTCATCTCTGAATCCTTCTGTGCATCAACATTTTCTTTGGGACAATCTTGCTTGTCTATAAATGTCTGCATCCACTCCTCTTCCTCAGAGACATATATCAGCCTCTCTGACCAGGAGGACTTTGTACATGTGTCCAGTAGGACAGTACATCATGACACCCATGTCACAGATCTATAATAAAGGAGGATTTTCCTAGTGTTGATGTCTGGAGGTTGTTCCCTTCTTCCAAAGCTGAGGTCAGGAACAGGCTGAAGGAATTGCCCCTCTGAGCGTGCTACTGTGCTTGGGTTCTCCAGGGTTTCAGGGCAGGAGGGCATGGGGGATGTGTTAGGGAATAGGCCTGTGCTGCTCCTTCACGTGTGGGTGCCCAGTGCAATGGAAATGATGGCTGATCCATGGGGATCTCCCTGGGACCATCTCCCCGTGGCTTTCAGCCACCACTTCCCTGCAGAGCAGCACCGCCAGCTCAGGGCCGTGCCTGAGGTGACAACCCGCGACAAGAGCAGACCTATTTCTGGAGGCACCAGTTTGGGCAGCTTTTCTCTCGCTGGCACAGCAGGAGCTGCCCGGGGAGCCCCCAGTGCAGGAGTCTTGTGCTGGGCAGAGGGATGGGCACAGAGGGGCTGCCAGCACTGGGCAATCAGGATCTCTTGGAGAGAAGAGCAGCAGAGAGAGGGAGACGCTGGCCTGCGTCTGCTCATGCCATGGCTGGCCCCAGCCCTGGGGCTGATGGGGAGGCTGAGAGCCCTCTGTGCCCCAGGAGCTGCAGTGATCTTCCAAGGGGCTGGGGCTGTGGGGTGAGTGCCCAGAGCTCTGCAGCACCCTGCGCTGGGCAATGCCATGGGGCCAGCCAAGTCTGGGCTGTTGTGCTGGGATGGGATGGTCTGGGGAGAGTGTGGTGGGCATGGGGAGTGCTGAGGAGGGGCTGGGCTGGGGTGGAAAGTTTCTTGGAGAGAAAAACACCAGTGTACAGCTTATACTGTGTGAGCATGCAGGGTGAGCACTCACACCAGGGGATTTGTGTTACGGAGCCAGGGCTCATGACTGGGATCAAAGTCAAGAAGGCACAGGAGAGAGGGTGCAGATTTGTATTCTTGGTGGCATGGCGAGACTGGGAAGGTGGCCCAGGACATTCATCACCCCCCAGCCTATCTCGCTGGTCATTTCCAGCACTGGCTGCTCACCCAGGTTTATGGGTGAGCGTTGCTGCTAAACCATCTCCATCCTCTTGCTGGTCTCAGTGCCTGTAGAGGGGGACAAGCCAGCGCTGCCCGGCCTCTCTCCTGGTGCAGACCCTGGCAGACCCCAGAGAAGGGCTATCTGTGAATCCCCACATGGGACACAGCTGGGGCTGGGAAAGTGTTGGATACTGGGGGAAGCTGCAAATTGTATGTTATGAGATTATGTCTTGCTGGGGCTATGGGGGGGACAATGAACTGATTGCTTTCACTGGCATCATAATGGGAAGAAATTACTCTGACAGCAAGTAGGCTGGGGGTGTACATGAAGTTGGGAGGGGTCACAACTG